CACTTATATCGCATGAAGAAATAAATCATCAGCAAAACTTCGTCCTGCATTACAAGGCGCAACTAAGCGTCCCACTCACAGCCCTAATCTCGGCTTGGACGAAATACTCCGCTATTTTACTATGCAGGCTATCATCTACTCAGCCGATGTGTCTCTGAGGGGTTACATTTCCCGGTGACAAACTCAACAGTTGCATGAATTCCATGTCGATCCCGCCGGAATCCCACCGGTCACGCGTGAAATATGCGCCATAAGCCCGGAGATTGAGCTGAGTCCGGCAACAATTTAATATACGAGAGAACGGGCGCTATACCCCGCCCCTCAAGCTGTCCTGATTTGTGAAGGACTTCGGGATCTATACGGGATCCATTTGGACTCGCCGAACATACATAAGGGAGCTGTGTCTGCGTGGTTATGTTGAGGTGTATGCACACCCGGTGAGAAAGCCCTACTCCAGAGATCCTCATCATGCTTCTTCTTGGTCATCTTTGGAGTATCGCTGCTCTTGCGGCGCTGACCGTTGCTGCTCCTTCTCGTTCTGTTCCTCGAGGTATGAATATGCGTTTGTCTTTTGTTCATGCCATCCGATGATTGACCAACTGACGCAAGCAATAGATGTGTCGGCTGATGTGCTTGGTCAATTGACCCTGTTCTCGCAGTGGGCTGCAGCATCATACTGCACGAACAATAGCAACTCCACCGGCGATGGGGTATCTTGCGAGCAAGGCAACTGCCCCTTGGTGGAGTCCGCTGACACAACTACTCTATACGAGTTTGACGAGTATGAGACCAACTTCCAATGTCATTCACAAGTCGTTCGCTAATACAGTGACACCTTTCAGGACCTCCAGCTATGGTGATGTCGCCGGCTTCCTCGCGGTTGACAAGACAAACAAGCTACTTGTTGTCTCATTCCGAGGCAGTCGCACACTGAGTAACTGGATCGCGAACATCAACTTTGGCTTCACCGATGCCAGTAGTATCTGCAGCGGTTGCGAAGCCCACGGCGGGTTCTTGGAAGCCTGGGAGGCTGTCGCGGCTGATCTGACATCCAAGATCAAGGCCGCAAAGGCAACATACTCGGGCTACACTCTTGTCGTGACAGGCCACAGCTTTGGCGGAGCCCTTGCCACGTTGGGAGGTATTGTGCTTCGAAATGGCGGATATGAACCAAGTGTGGTAAGTACTATGTTTCGAAATCTGCCTTGATTAATAGTGTATACTCACAATGAGACTAGTATACTTATGGCCAGCCACGGGTGGGCAACAAGGCTCTGGCTCAATATATCACGGACCAGGGCAGTCTCTGGCGAGTGACACATACAGATGACTTGGTGCCTAAGGTGCCACCTGCGACTGTTGGTTTTAGCCACGCGAGTCCCGAGTACTGGATTATTAGTGGCGACAATACGACGGTGACCTCGTCTGATATTGATGTCATTGTCGGCGTGGGCTCGAAGTCTGGAAATGCGGGGACGTTGAATCCGGATACTGCGGCACACAATTGGTACTTGGGACATATTGATGCATGCAAATAGGGTGAATACATCTATGGATATGTAGGTAGTATGTCCTGGGGGAAAGACAATATCTACCGGTCAGATGTATATATCGTGGTTAAATCAATTCAATCTATCATATCAAATATATCAATATATGCATTCTAAATAATTTGAAAATATGCTTGTTTTTATATGTTCCAACTGTTATAGCTGTACAGTTGCTATACTTGCTATAAGCTATAATTGTGGACTCGAAGCTATTCACCGTAGCGCCTAGTTAGAGCTTGGCTGTGGAGAACTTCAACTTGCGACACGTCGACCTCCTAGATGTCTCTGACAATCGCAAGGATTTATTACCTACACAGATACTACATGAATTAGTATCTGATTAACATCGCAGGTATATCCTACTTGTCTCTCCTGGATTTCTTGAGCTCCCCGGGCCCTTGATTTCCCGTTAATCGTCAACTTCTCCCCCCTCAATGACTTGACCACCTGGGCAGAGTGCCCTCCATCCAACATGTTGTTCGCTCCTAGCGGGCCTCAGGGCCCTCGACGTCGCAGTCGCATGAAGGCTATCTTCCTTACCATCTTCATCGTCATCGCCCTATACCTTTTATTCTTCTCAGCAACAAAGTCCCGCGTCAAGACCGAAAAAGGCAGCTATGCGCAGATACATGATGGACCGACAAAACAATCAGGCGAGCTGGCTCGCCCTGCTGTACCGAGACGAAAGGATATGGTTGTCGCCAGCATGAAAAGTGATGACACGTCATGGCTGTCAGAATACTTCCCCGACTGGACGAAAAGTATCTACGTGGTGGATGACAAGCACGCACCATTGACGGTGGCGCGCAACAAAGGCCGGGAGTCGATGGTGTATTTGACGTGAGTTCGACATGCAATGTGTTATCTTTCGTGTCGCATACTGACTCGAGCTGTTGAATAGATACATCATCGACAATTACGATAATCTACCAGAGACAATGCTCTTCATCCACTCGCGACGCTACCAATGGCACAACGACGACCCGTACTACGACGGAATTCCACCGCTACAAAATCTCCAGATTCCATACCTACAAGAGCAAGGATACGTCAACCTACGATGTGTTTGGACCCTTGGATGCCCGGTGGAAATCCGTCCTCTCACCGATACGCATCGCGGCAACGTACACGCCGGCGAATACTTCAAGTATGGATTCATGGAGCTATTCCCTGGGATGCCAATCCCAGAGGAGGTAGGCGTGTCGTGCTGCGCGCAATTTGGTGTGTCCCGCACCAAGGTGCTGGAACGGCCGCGCAGTGACTACGAGCGCTTCCGCACATGGCTAGCGGACACGCCGCTAGAGGATGATTTGAGTGGACGAATTATGGAATATTCATGGCATAGTATGTGTTTTCCCCGCAATGACCCAGTTCCGATCGAAAGCTGACATTTTCTCCAGTGATATTTGGAAAGGACCCTGTACATTGCCCCGATGCGAAGGAATGCTACTGCAAAGTGTTTGGACTGTGCGATCTGACTTGTCCATGGGAAGGTGGCTGTGACGACCGCTATTCCCTGCCACCATTCTCCTCGCTGCCCAGGGGATGGCCGGCTATTGGGTGGAAGGGCCAAGCACAAGACCCTTCACATGGATTGCCGGAAACTTGAATTGATGATGGAAGATATCAGCCATATAAGCCCGCGTTTTCACTGCCTTGGGTTAGGCGTCTTGCTCTGCGTATATGCGCTCTCAAGTTGCAGTGCTCTATGCATCTACAAGTGCACGCCGAGGATATCCCTCCCAACCGAGACTACACAGATTTTCCAAAGATTGTTATCGGGTATATAGAAAATTAGTTACTGGATGAAGTTTGGAATTTAGAGAATCCAGAATCTCCTACTGCATAGCTGCATACATAGGTGACGTGACGTACATGAAAACGTGCTTAATGCGGAGCCGAGGCTACTTTATCTCCCCGCATTCAGCACCTTCATTTTCTTACAACTTTACAATTCTGCCACTCTCTCCTCTTCTAAAGCTAAAATGCTGATCATCGGGCTCACCGGCTCAATAGCAACGGGCAAGTCTACTGTCTCGTCCATCCTCTCCACACCACCCTACTCCCTCCCAATAATCGACGCCGATCTCCTCGCCCGCAAAGTAGTCGAACCCGGCACCGCAGGCTACAAAGCTATCGTCAACTACTTCGGCCCTAGTACACCAGATCTACTATTGGACGATGTGCCTACAAATCCAAACGGGAAGCCACTGAATCGGCCGGCGTTAGGGCGGCGCATTTTCGGCAGCACAGAAGAACGCAAACGGGACCGACAAGTCCTCAACGGCATCGTCCACCCCGCCGTACGGTGGGAAGTCTACAAAGCTTTGATTTACCACTACCTGCGTGGCCAATGGGCGGTTGTCCTGGATGTACCGCTCCTCTTCGAGAGCGGGATGGATCTCATCTGCGGAACTGTAATCGTGGTCGGGGTGCATGATCCTGAAATCCAAACGGCGCGGTTACGCGCCCGCGATGCACATCTCACAGCCGAGGATGCAGCGAACCGGGTCCAGAGTCAGGGAGATGTGCGGACGAAAGCGACGCAGGCGGAGTTCCGGGGGACGACGACGGCGCGCGGGGTAGTGGTTTGGAATGATGCTGATAAAGCACAGCTGGAGGTTGCTGTTAGGGGGGCTATGGCTAGTATTGCAGCGTCCAGTCCGAAATGGTGGGCGTGGACCTTGTTGGCTGTGCCGCCGGTTGGGGTTGGGGTTGCTGCTTGGAATTTGATTGTGAATTTCGCGACGCAGAAGGGATGGGAGAAGAAGAAGCAGGAGGAGAAGGCGAAGCTTTGAGATGATTTTCTTGCTTCTTTTTGAGAAGAGCCGGTCGCTACTTAACTCTATGTAGTGCTCTCAGTGAGGTCCTTAGCAGAGCCTAGGGCCTAGCATATACAATGTACATTGATTATTATCTCGATGAGCCGCCCAAACAAGCTGCCTCCAGATTCCGTTCTTATGGAACACCTCTCGAACATACGGCCCTACTAATTTCTTATTACGATATCCATGTAAGCTCACATTCATCCTGTGCTGTGTTTCGAGTCCCACCGAATATCCTTCGAGCTCCCGTCAGTATCGCCGTACAAAGTCCGAACTTCTCGATGGCCGAGAGCATAGATATCGACCTGGTTTATAAGAAGAGGACGAATAGTAATTGATGATAATATCCAGGTACATGATTCAATGTCTTCCATAGGAGAGAGAGTAAGCACGGTTGTAAGTAACAACTTCTGACTATGTCGCTTAAAGATATTGATTTACTTGTTGTGTGGTGGACACAAAGAAGTACATACCTAGTAGGCCAATGATCATAGTGATTGCTAAGCATATACCACCAGGAGGTGATACTGAGAAGGAATTGATTGATATAACCCCAAAACGCCATACATGCTATGCTAAAACGCCAATCAAAACATCCGAGGTGGGATCGTGAAAAATCATCCGTTTAGTAGCTCTTGCGCTTCTTCTTTTTCTTGTCAGAGGAGGGGGCTCCCAACAAAGACGCTCGGCCAGAGCCAGATATACTAGTGAGTTCAGACAGTTTCGTCTGTCGTGTTTTTCCTGCTTTGGCTTCTGCCTTGAGTCTAGATTTTTCTTGCATTTTGGCAACCTCTTCTGGATTCGACGGGTTGACTATGGTGTCTTCATCTTCATCGTCCTCGGGCTAAGAAAAAATGAGTACAAAATATCAAGTGCAAGATATAGAATACTGACCTTGCGCTTGTTGCGCTTGAAATTGCCATATGCACGCCGACCACCGGAGTGGGTATCGTCATCTGCATCCAGCGAATCTGCCGCCAATACCATAGGCTGCTGAGTGGACTGGGATGTAGCAGGAAAGTCCAAAACCCAGTGTGTCTCGCCGGCCTCTGCGGCTGCTCGTGCGACGGCATTTTGCCGCTTTTCTTCTTCGGCAGCAAGTGCAGCCGCGATCGCATCCATATCTGAGGTGCGAGGGCTCTCAGCCTCGGTGGAGAGACGGGGGCGCTTGGAGTTGTGCGGGCTAGCATCCGAGGATGGGCTTTGAGTTTCTTTGGCAGCTGCAGCGCGTCGCATGAACTGGGATATAGTGTTAGTTGTATGGCTGTTAACCAGGAAACTATCATTCATACCTTCATGGTCAATAGAGTTGACGACATGGTCTTCTCAGGCTTTCCAGCCGGGGAGGAAGAGCCAGCCATGATGAGTTGAGAAGACGGTCTTAATGGATACAAACCCCAATTTAAAAAACAGGAGAAAGAAAGATGTCGAGCCACTTCACTTGCGAAGCGCAAAATAAAATGACGCGGCAGAAAATCCAAGTTCTGGGTGGAGCTCTCTCGAACCAGCAAGCGGTGACCACCCACCAAACCACACCTCGCGGATTATTCAGTGCCGACTTGCACCTGGTCCCTTGCCAACCCTCTTCTTATCCTCCGTCATAGCCAACCATCCCGGGGAAATTTGCCCATAATGATGTCCTGTGGCCGCAGACTTGCGACCTTTGCGTCGGCCCGCCCACGCTTCGTTGTCCGCGCATACTCCTCGACCGTGCCCCGTCTGAGCGAGAACCCTATTCAAGTCAACGACCCGACCCCGCGGAAGCCCACGCCGAATGTCTCCGCGACCAATGCTGAGCCCACTAACGACGGTACTCTTCAGGAGGCCCCCGAGGTTGGCGAGCGCATTCGGAGCATGCAGGCCCCGAACCGCGCTACCACCTGGGCCTCCAGCCAGCAGCCGCGCGAGAAAGCCATGGTTGGACCTCGCTTTGAGCAGACAATCATGGAGTCCCAGGTGCGAATTCGTTGAAAACAGCAGTGCTCATGCAATTGCTGTTGGCAATGCCTCAAGGACTGATACTAACATGCTACTCTTTAGCCGCGACCATATGCTGCTATCGAGCTCATTCACAGACAGCCTGTCCGCTGGACAAAGTCCAGGGTTGTCAGCTGTGACGGTGGTGGTGGCCCTCTCGGCCACCCTAAGATCTTCATCAACACCGACAAGCCCGAGATCGCTACCTGCACATACTGCGGTGTCCCCTTCGTATGTCCACTGATATCCGCGGTCTTTCCGGCTACGATTGGATCTTTGCTAACACCTCTCTAGGCTCATGAACAGCACCGCGCTTACCTGAAGTCCCTGCCCGCCACCAGCTATCCCCTCGAGCCTACCGGTGACGCTGCCGAGGTGAACGAGTCTCAGCGTGTGACAGAGGGTGGCTTGGAGCAGCGATAGACGGCTAGCATGAGATTTCTTTATCGGCGTTGCACAATTTGCGTTTTTCAATTGGTTTTGGGCCCGAGGCCGTGTACAGAATATCCATGAATGGATCTGCTGCTCTTCGATCGTGTGTGATGATGGTATTGTCCCCAAAATGTGTGTATTACATCGACTACCATATGATGATCTCGTATAATTCGGGTCATATGTCGACTATCTCGCCAACCCAAACCTTTATTTTTTTTTCTTGCAACTCGTCTTGCATCACTCGTAGCTGAGGCATCAGATATACCAGATAAATTACAATTGCGCTCGCTCAGCCCCATCCAGTCAAGCCTTCTGTCCCTGGATCGTCGCGACAACCTTGCGACTGTGTCGACTCGTCCGGAACTCTAGGTACCAAATGCCTTGCCATGTTCCTGTTGCCAAGCGACCGTTTGTGATAGGAATATTGACCGAAGCGCCAATGAGCGCAGATTTGATGTGAGCCTGTGTTGAATTAGTGCTGGATTCGAAGAGAGTGAAAATAACAGCGGGGGATAATCAGAGGACTCTAGCCTGCTGAAGCGAGCATAGCGATCTAATCAATACCCAATCCCCTGCTATCTCCAAACACATACCGGCATATCATCGGCGCCCTCGGCAGAATGGCGATACAAATCCCCCTTCTTATCCATAGGCGCAATGCGATCCAAGGCATCGCTCATATCGGCGCGAACATCGTCATCCCAGTTCTCGTTCAGCGAAAGCGCACAGCTGGTGTGCTGCACGAACAGATTCAGCATGCCGACTTTGTAGTCGCGGATCTCGGGGACCTCCTGGAGGACATGGTCGGTGATCAGGTAGGAGCCGCGGCTGCGAGTAGGGAGAGTAAAAGTCTTCTGTGACCAAGACATGTTATATGAGCTGAAATGGAGATGTGATGTTGCTAAGAGGGAGGATATAGAGGGGAAGAAAATAAGAGTGCGATTGGGTGGGTTCTCTGATGTCATTGGATCTAACTCGGTACTCCGTACTCCGTACATCTATGAATATACATTCTAAAGGTTGGGAATACGTTCATTTCTCCTGCAATTTGGCAGTATATATTCCACTACTGCCCATCTTCGAACAGGTGCAAGCCCTTGTTCTCAGTCTTGTCCATCCCACCTAGAGCTATACAGTGTAGCAACATCTTGGGCAACATGTATCGAGATTTGTCTTTTAATAGTATTAGAGCATTTCCCACACTTTATACCCCGTACTTTATTATTGGAACCTCATTGAGACGTACCTAGGTTACTATACGTATTTCCTATTGCAGATGCCGCTTTAAATGAGGACGCAGAGCCAGTCACGTGATATACTAGTCCTCGCTGATTACTCAGCATATACTCTACGCGTGGACCCGTCACCCATGGATCCGTGGACGCTCAGACCATACCCAAAAAGGGCCCCACCATGCTGGGGTATATTTCAAATACGTTCAAATACGAGTGCTATTCATTATAGTCCCGGCATAAAAAGCAAATCCCTCTCTGTATATTATCTCACCGCTACACTCTCAGTATGACAATAGGTCCGTGCGTATGCGGTTGCCCGACTTAGGTATCTTATATAGGGGCTCGCAATCTCCTATTCTATTACTCTCACATCTATTTCGATTCAAATTTGCCAAAATTCCCCCTTTCCGCAATACATTATTATGATATGGCATAGATTTGGGAGCTCAGCGGCAGCCCAAAGCTTCTGTACACGAATGTCATCTTCCAGGATAGCGACAAGTACTTTTCAGCACAGCTGCCTGAAAGGTTCGCTTGCCCAGATGATATCCCGCCTAAGGCCAAAAGCTGTCTCAAGGAGATTCCTGCCGAACACATTTGGCCTCCGCTAGAAGATGGTCTTTCGATATGCCACGATGCTAAGAAGCCAGGTATCTACATCAAACGGCCCTAGCTCCTTGACTATGATGGTTCAGGGTTATTGAGTGTGCTCCTGCTTCAGGAAGCTCGTATATACCAGATCCTGATGCAAAATGAATACCAAAATATCGCTCGCTATCTTAGATGTATAGTAAAAGGGGGGCGGATTACCGGGCTTTGTTTCTAGAGATATATGGAGACGCTTGCCGACCGTCTTAAGGCTGGACGCTCAGTCGATAACGAAAGCTATCTTCAGCAGATTAAGGCAGGAATCGATCACCTCCATGCTCTCAATCTAATCCACAATGACATCTATATAAGAAATATCATGATTGTAAACCAAGAAGCTGACGCATTTATGATCATCGATTTTGACTCATGTACTATCAAGGGACATCGGCTCCCAGCCAAGCACACGCGAGTTCGAATACCTGAAGATATCTGGACTGCAGAAACTGAAAACGACGATCTAGGGTTCAAACTACTCCAGGAGAAACTTCTTTCAGGAGATATCTAGTCCTTAAGGGCTTGGTCAGGGGACAAGCGTGTTTTCCAAGGGAGCAATAATGTTATTGATGCCTTTTGGTGGCTGTACCAAATTGTAGGTCGATACCACTGAAATATCGAATTTGAGTGTAAAAAAGACCTTTCACTGTCATGATGCAGCTCAGGAAGCCTTCAAAAACAATATTTTAGACGTATTGAACATCGAGAAGACAACTCGATTCCAACAACTTATAAAATCACTTTTCGGACTACCTCCCCCGACTACGGATGCCGACGGAGAGGGAAAGTGGTCGCTAGTTCTGAGCGATCTGGCAGCGGTCCGCATCTGTTTGGGCGATACAATATGCGACGCCATTCAATGTTCTCCTAAACATAATCCGAAGCCAGTGGTCAGTCAGTTTTCGGAAACGAGTGAATGTGTCGAAGCAAGGGTTCCTTTCGATGCCGATCAAGATGCCATCATATATATTGACGTGGGCTCCGCACTCAAGCTTGCTGATATGCTATTTCCCGCTGCCAGCGAAAGAGTTGCCTCAATTCTTCAGTCGGATCCATCATCCGTATCACGGATAGGTATGAAAAGGTGAAGTTGTACGGCAACGCAGGTCGCTTATTTCATTATCCTACAGATTTTGCACATTTCACCTTGCAAGGAGCGTCTGTGCCCGCCATAAGACTATTATTCGGCACATCTATCTACGAAGGTATAGATCAAAGCGAATTGCGAAACTGGGAAAAAGACCGTTTGCTTCTCGACAAGACAGACTGCATCACGATACAATTGCGGAGAGAACAGCCGGAGTATGGAATAATTCGATTGCGGGTTGGGTTTTGGCCAGGAGTGAATCTGGTAAACGAGACTACTTCACCCCCTCAAATATGGCATCCCTACCCCACCACACGTGACCAACGGAGAGCCCAACTGCAAATAGACTCCGTAGGCTATGAGAATCCTTCATCACATATAAATAAACCTCTTGTTTGAGAGTGATATGACCAATACAATCCTCTCGGTCCCCTCTGTGTATAACTCGGAGTCTGTAGAGTTAGTTTGTAGCTCATTTTCCCAGCTTTATCCACCTAGGTCGTCCTTTGTCTTCAACAGTCTATCAATTTCCTCTATATGCACGGAAACAGTGCCAGGATAGCGGAAGGCAGCGGTATTAGGAGCTCTTATACTCCGTACCTCGGTCGGCTGGGATACCGAGGTTAAAGATAGATGAAGATCTTAGATCCGTTACATGCTGTCTAGTTAGGGTTGACTTTTATAGCTAAAGAATTGTATATGTTGAGAACGTGGCCGAGTTGGCCGAGTTGGCAGAGTACCTTTAAGAAGCCATATACAACAGGGAACTAAGATACCTTCCTATTGAAAGGGCTTTTGCCATTGCCGAGGCAACTAGATCAGAAATGCCAAGTCGATATTCTTGACCCGTCCTGCTTTCTTATTCGTCAATTCCATTTGTCAATTCCCTTCTGGGCATCTGGTGGGTCTGCTCCTCGGCCGCTATACCTAGGTCTATGCGGGGGAAGACTACGGTTATGACTTCATCAGATCTGCCGGGATATTGGGCATGACTTTTTAATTTCCTCTATATTTCTTTTTTCATTTCAAACTGTTCAACTATTCAAATTGAAATATGAATTCCTCCGTTGACCCTGCCTCTCAGCTGGTATCTGCAGCAGTCCCAGCATTCAAGTGTCCTGCTGGGACAAAGATGCACATTCTGAATTTGGGCACCCTACAAGCAGATGAATCATGGTTTGTGTTTGCCAATGGAAGCTGAAGTCGTTAATTTCTTACTAACTTGCGTAGGATTTTCCGAGGTGGCAATGCAAGCACCTTGAGCAACCTTAATCCGGTGAATAAACGCCGAGATTTAGTGCTTATTTCGGCTCTTATTGAGTACCCAGGCGTTGGCCTCATTCTCTATGAGACTGGCTGTGCTGAGGATCTAGAAGTGGTTTGTCGGATCGTATCGCAATTGTCATTATGTGTAACTAAACAAAATACAGAAATGGCCGGCGCCCGTCACGGATGTCTTTCCGCGAGTTGAATACTCGGAGAACAATAAACTCCCGAATGCTATCAAAGCCACTGGAAATGACATCAAGGATGTGAAAGCGGTCATCATTGGCCATCTGCACCTTGATCACGCCGGCGGACTTGAGCATTTTGTGAACACAGATGTCCCAATCTATGTCCACGAAGAAGAGTTCAAGCACGCTTGCTGGGCGATAGCAACCGGGGCAGACTTGGGCGTCTATCTTTCACACTATATGCTTCTAGAAGAGCTGAAGTGGAACACCTTTACGGAGTCGCAACTTGACCTTTTCCAAGGCATAACCCTCCACCATTCACCTGGCCATACACCCGGGCTTTGCATTATGCAAGTCAACCTGGTCAATGATGGACCATTTATTTGGACCTCGGACCAGTTCCACGTTGCAGAGAACTATACGCTGGGTCATCCCCATGGCGGATTAGCTAGGGATCACAATGCGTGGTTCCGCAGTCTCAACATGATCCGCAGACTGCAAAGACTGTACAACGCGACGTTGATTTTCGGTCATGATAAGGAGGTTGCCTACAAGCTCATAAATGCGAAGCCATACTATGAGTGAGGGATCACACTTCAAGCTTGCTCAGCAATTCAATTAGATGAAGATGTGTCCTTTCCTCTTTTTTCTCCCGAGTCAATTAGTCCAATATACCAATAGACACTTCTCGATCTCTCTTCTTGCTTTCTCTCACCGAGTTTACTAGACTAAGAATATTGTGGCGCAAGTTATTTCCGGTGTGCCTTGGAATCGCATCACGCCAATTAACTATGGTCAAGTTGTGGCTTCTAACATCAAGGATTTAGCCGACTTGGCAAACCCTAATGATATAAATCGCTCATTTGCTTATACTTCATTTGTAAAGCAACTTCGGATCACATCATAATTCACCCGCACATACCTCCGCGATATGTGTATATGCGGGCGAAAACACTACCCGATTAAGACATCAGATGCCTCAGCTCCGAAATTACTTCCGAGTTTCAGCGAGTTAACTCCGGGCGTGCCAATTGTTTAAGTGTTCTCTTCCAAGAATGTGGGGTGAGAGTTTGTATTTCCCCGAGATCTGCAGGGCAGTGGAATCCCCACGGGGTATGCCAAGAAGTATGGAATGTGGGGGATGAGGGATTTTCGATTTTCGCAGATATAAATTTTGTAGCAATTTCCTCCTGATAGAACAGAATATATTTATTCATAGCGGTTTTTCTCCAATTCCAAAATGGGCATTTTCCTCGCATTGGCCCTGGGTCTGCTCGGGACAGCATCCGGCCTGGACTATACCGAACCATACCGTCCTCAATACCATTTCTCCCCTGCCGAAAATTGGATGAACGATCCTAACGGACTGTTATATCACAATGGCATTTACCATCTTTTCTTTCAATATAACCCCGCTGGTGTTGAATGGGGGAATATGTCGTGGGGTCATGCAACGAGTAGCGATTTGACCCACTGGGAAGAGCACCCGATTGCTCTACTTGCTCGCGGATATCCCAACGAGGTCACCGAGATGTTCTTCTCAGGAAGCGCGGTAGCAGATGTGAACAATACGAGTGGCTTCGGAGTGGATGGAAAGATTCCTTTGGTTGCCATGTATACTTCTTCGGTACGCGTGGCTATTTCACTTGACCACTCACTGATGGAGACTGACAAGATTCATAAAGTATCCCGTGTCTCAAGACCTACCAAGCGGAAAATCTATTACCGCAGGGCAGCAATCCCAGTCAATCGCCTATAGTCTCGACGAGGGAGAGACCTGGACAACATATGATGCCGAGAATCCTGTGATTTATAACCCACCCTCTCCATATGAAGCAGAATTCGAAAACTTCCGGGATCCCTTCGTGTTCTGGCATGCCGATACACAGAAATGGATAGCCGTCACAACTCTGGCATCACTCCACAAGCTGCTGATATGGAGTTCTGACAACCTCAAAGAATGGTCCTTGGCCAGCGAGTTCGGACCCTACAACTCTGTCGGCGGCGTATGGGAATGTCCCAGTTTGATTCAACTGCCCGTCAAAGGAAACAAATCAATCAAGAAATGGGTAATTGTTCTTGGGCTCAATCCTGGTGGACCACCTGGCACGGTCGGATCAGGCACACAATACTTCATCGGCGACTTTGACGGAACAACTTTCCAGGCTGATCCTGCTAGCATCTATCCAGGAAACAGTTCTGCCAACTGGATGGATTGGGGTCCGGACTTTTATGCTGCCGCCAGTTATAACGGACTTCCTAATGGAGATGTGGTCCAGATTGCGTGGATGAATAATTGGCAGTATGGCACGGAGATCCCGACAAGCCCTTGGCGAAGCGCCATGTCTGTTCCCCGTCAGTTGTCATTGCAGACGATCAATGGGAAGGTGACCCTCGTTCAACAACCGCAACAAAACTGGCAGAGTGTTGCCAACCACCAGACCTTGCAACATTCCTGGAAATCTGTATCGAAAGGATCAACCAAACTCGACTCCCCAGGCAAGGCATGCAAGATCGACTTGAGCTTTTCTGATCATGACTCCAAAAAATCTCTGGCATCTACGTTTGCGATCGCTGTCCGTGCTAGCTCTGACTTCAAGCAAGAAACACTGATCGGCTACAACTTTACCAGCAAGGAGGTCTTCGTGGATCGACGAAATTCAGGAGATGCATCTTTTGACGACACTTTCGCAACCTTGTATCACACATCACTGTCAGCAGGCGCGGATAAACGTATCAACCTGCAGATCTTCGTGGATTGGTCTAGTGTTGAGGTATTTGGGGGTCAAGGAGAGGTCTCTTTGACGGCTCAGATATTCCCTAAGGAAGATGCAACTGAAGCGCGACTTGTCTCGACGGATGGAGTGACCCAGAATGTCAAGCTTCAGATCAACGGGATGAATTCAGCGTGGCACTAGAATAGCAAGGGAAGAACAAGAAACCGGAAACTGGGTGGAAGGCATCAATTCAATTCTGCCAGACTTAATTCTACACTTTTGAATTCTACTTTACATAGTCAAAAACCCCTACTATACTCGCACCAGACGGGACTCGTAGTACGCGCCCGCCTAGCCTACACAGAAACAGATTAATCCTATTCTCCGCCCATTACGCCCGGGCTCCCTCCGCCGCTATGCTGCCGGCTACAAAGCATGAACAGTTCTGAGGGCATGTAGATCTGTACGAAATACGACACAGAAAATGAAAAAGCCCACCAAATGCTCTGGAACAAATACGGAGGTATTTCTGAAGCTATCGGACCTGACTCGCTAGTCCTCAAGGACGAAGGGGTATTTGCGAATGCAGATATTGCTTGATTGCTTGTGTTCTTGATCGATTCCCAGAGCGCGTGACGAATAATTCGGCGCCAGAGAATGTCGACTGGCGTGAGAATAGACTGGTAGATTTCTTACGAATGCGCGAAGAGGAAATTACCTCAAGGCCAATCACCTTGCAGCTCACAAAGCGCCTTGAGATAGCTTTGGGGGTCTGAAGAACCGAGAGTTGGGCCAAATAGGCAGTCGCCTAGACTCATTCAAGTTAAGCAAGAATTCTCGGCGGGAAGCCTAGCTCCTTCCTTTTGAGTTCCTCCATCCGTACGGAAGTGAGTAAATCTGTGCTCATACCGGTTGACAGAAGATTCCTTCTAATATCCGCTTAGAATTCGAAAGCATGTAACACGCTTAAGCGCCATCCATTTTCAGGGCTAGTTCATTCGGCCCGTGAGTTGTTTACACACTCCTTAGCGGATTCCGACTTCCATGCCCACTGTCGGGCTGTCTAGATGAATTAACACCTCTTGTGGTGTCTGATGAGTGTTTATTCCGGCACCTTAACCTCGCGTTCGGTTCATCCCGCATCGCCAGTTCTACTTACCAAAAATGGCCCACTAGTAACGCTTTCTGTGTTACCCACAGAGGGGTACACGTGACCATAATGTAACTAGTACCCCGCTGCTGTAGCTAGCTAATGCATCATCATCATTCCCCTGAGCTACCAGTGTGTTATCTGGTAGCATGTCCGTTCCGATCTAGGAGCAGCTCCTATTTTGACGAAGGACCCTAGTTTTGTTTTTTTCTATTAAAATTTTAACTTGCAGCACTAGCAGCCGGTACTGCGCTATATCTTAGGCGACACTGGTACCCAGTGTAGCCACAATCCAAATAGACAGTCAAGCCGGCAGAAAAGCCATCACCCCGCCCCTTATCCTAAGCTACCTACCTTTAACTAATATAGAGCTCGATACCACCATAGGTAATAGGCGAAAGGGCACTATATAGAGAACGCCTAGAGAAAGCAATCTCGCTCTTATACCAGCTTCTACTATACTTCGAGGATAGTACCAGACTATATACCCGGTACCTTAGCTTAGAAGCAGAGTGGTATATCCAATAGATCGCGTATATGTACCCTTAACCTTTCCTTCTAACTTATATAGGTACCAGCTTCCACTTCCTACCAAACTAGCCGCTAGAATATCTATAACCAATTAAGCAGACTATTAGAGATATTATAAGACTAGCTAAAGCGATCGGTATTCCCAGCTACCTTAGGGTAAGTATAGATAGTTCCTTAGTAATAGAAAGGCCTAAAAGTATAACTATTAGTAACTAAATAACGACCTCGCGACCCTATAAGGATATAACTATAGGTAACTAATATATATTACTATAAGCTATAGATAACTAATATACAGTACTATAGGTATATATAGGCGATACTTTCCCTACCGCTTTGGTATTATATACTAAAGACAATATCCTTAATAGGGATAATATATCCCTAATACTAGAAGATAGTATCCCCCTAGTATAGATTATAGCTAGTATAGCTTCCTATCTAGTAGACTAGGACTAGCTCTAGTAGACCTACTAGGACTAGGGGCTAATACTACCCTAGCTAGGTATAGATCCTTAACTATTACTTTACCTACAGCAGAGTTATAGTAAGTCTAAAATAGGGTTTTCTACTTAGTAAATAGTGACCCTTATATAGCTAATATATATACTCTAGATAGAAGCAGCGGTACTAATACTAGGACTACTAGGACTACCTAGAATCCCTAGATATAATAGTACTAATAGGATCCCTATACTAGCAATTAATATAAGCTAGAAAATAGATAAGATTAGATACTTTATACTAAACCTAGACAGCGATAGACTAATATATATAATCAGAGGTACTACCTTCTATATAAATATATATACCTTTCTTAACTAGTTATATAGCCTATTACCATTAAAGACTAAGCTAGTAGTTTAGGCGAATCTATAGTTATTACTCCTTAAAGGCGTATAATATTAGTATATATCTAATATATCTAAAATTGTATAGATAGGCCTCTATAATATCGAAGTTACCTACCTAGAAGGATGGTTTATAGTACTTAAACGCCGCTTTAAGCCTTATATAACCACTACTATAGTATAGCTTATACGGATTAGCTACTCTTAGGTAGATATTAAGAATATAAGATTAGCCTTAGCCTAGGTATAAGATATACTATAAATAGTGTAAGCTATAGGATTTGGAAATACTATATAGTAGCTATATATAATCTAGGTTAAGATCGACCCTATGCTTTAATATAATATCGCAGAGCCTAATAAATTTACCTCTATTAATAATTTTATATAATAGCTTGACTGTAGATATAGCTAATAGCTAAGGATAAGTATTACCTATAAGAATATATATACTACTAATAGCTATAATAGCACAGGTACCCCTTAAGGAGGATAGAGGATATAGTAAGGGTACTACTAGTAATAGCCTCCTTACTACTAAAGCTATCAGAGATACTAGCAGTAGCCTATATAGCGACTAGATAGCTATTAGGTACCGCAGCCGAGGTTATATAGCTACTAATAACCACAGTAGAGTAGGTACTAGAGGCTAAACTAAACCTTCTAATAGTAATATAATAGCTAAGCGGCCGAGTATAATATACCTAGATACTAGCTAAGCGCTAACCTAAACCAAAGTTATATATAGGATTAGTAACCCTAGCTAGCCACTCTCTACTAGACTTCTCCAAAGCCCGACCCGAGCCCGAAATTTGGGCCCGTGGCCCGACCCGCACGGGCTTCGGGCCTAACCTCCCTAGGCCCGGCCCGGCCCGAAGCCCGCGCGGGTCGGGCCTAAAAGCCCGTGAATAGCCCGTTTAGCCCGAATTTGTATAATATAGAGGTCTTGGCGCTCATAAGTCAGATTATATAAGATTAATAAATTACAGTTTTTTATTGCTGTTTTAGTCTGGTCATATTCTAATAAAAAACATACTAATTCGTCTACAAACGTCAAAAATGAAGCCATTCCCAGATCACCTTACTAATTCATCTGGTCTTCCCGCAACATGCCGATTCGTCTACAAACGTCAAAAATGAAGCCATTCCCAGATCACCTTACCAATTCATCTGGTCTTCCTGCAACATGCCGATTTGTCCACAAATGTCAAAAATGAAGCCATTCCCAGATCACCTCACCAATTCATCTGGTCTTCCCGCAACATACCGATTCATCCACAAACGTTAAAAATGAAGCCATTCCCAGATCACCTCACCAATTCATCTGGTCTTCCTGCAACATGCCGATTCGTCCACAAATGTCAAAAATGAAGCCATTCCCAGATCACCTCACCAATTCATCTAGTCTTCCCGCAACATGCCGATTCGTCTACAAATGTCAAAAATGAAGCCATTCCCAGATCACCTTACCAATTCATCCCATCTATATACAAATGCAAATTCATCCCATCTGTATATAAATACAAATTCATCCCATCTGTATACAAATGTAAATTCATCCCATCTGTATACAAATGCTGTATACAAATGCAAATTTGTCTGATCAATTCAACCACCACCAATAATTGAGATAATTTAATTCTAAAAACAGTATTTAAATGCTAGATAGTAGAGAGTATCTAATTAATTAAATGCGACCGTAATTTATTGCTAGTTATGGTGTAATTGTATGAAGGAGTTGGGACCAAAGCCTACAGATTGTTAGGGTAAAAACTCTGCAGCCCAGCGAAATACCGCACAAACCCATAATTAAATTTCAGATAAAACCAATTGATCAGACCAATTAAGCAAACTGACGGAAAAACGGTGGTAAGGCGATTGTATATGTGGCAGAAAAAAAATCAATAAATTCTCTAACTCTCTAAAAATGACAATAGTCCTAAAACATGACAATCTTATGGACAACTTAGTAATCAAAACAAACAAAATAAAATGAAAGGATGTTTTTTGGGCGAAAAACTATGGGACTGGTTTTTTAGGCGAAAAACTACCTGAGTTGGTTTTTCTACAGAAATACCAGCCTGGTCAGTCATATAACCTAACTATATTAGGAATAAAAAATAATAGTATTTATCCTAGATTCTAATATACCCCCTAGCTTTTAAAGCAATTATAATTTAGAGCTTTAAGAGCTATCTTAATCAATTAATGTCTATTTTCATAACTAATCAGATGATTAATCTTAGATATTCTAAGCAATTCTCTAAACTATTCTTATTTCTAGTAGGGTAAAGCTTTCGTTAGACTATTAGTAGGTATCTCCGCGGTTAGAATCTAATCTATATTAACCTATCCGGCGTTAACTTCCTATTTTAACTAGTATCTATTAATATCTATATAGCGAAGCTTTATATATATTAATACTCCTTCCTTTATTAATAGATTAATGGTCTATTGGTTATTATATATAATAGAGAGTATATATAATGGTTTAAATCTAAGTATATAGAGGACTCGGCACTACTATTAGACTGTTTTTCTAGCTTTAGTAAGTACTAGAAGCTTAGCTTTAGTGGTTAAAGTAGTAACTATCTTTTATTTAGATACTTTCTAGTCGATTAGACTACTATAAAGTTTATAGATATATCCTTCTAAACTTTTCCGGTCTT